GAGGGTCAGTGCTGAGGGAGCGCCGCACTGTCGGAGGGTCAGTGCTGAGGGAGCGCCGCACTGTCGGAGGGTCAATGCTGAGGGAGCGCCGCACTGTCGGAGGGTCAGTGCTGAGGGAGTGCCGCGCTGTTACAGTTTGACTGCCTCCTGTGTGTATGGCTCTTGGAGTGAACCGATTGGCTGTGAAGTTTTGGAAAAGTTTGTATGTTTTTGCTTTCCCCCCTCTGGAGTTTCAAGTTGCCGTTATTCCTGCAGAATCTGATGATTACTGGGAACTGGAACATCCAGACAGCAGTCACATCCCCTGCCACTCCTACGACAAGAAATGCATCGCCAAGCACTACGCTCGGATTCGCGAGAAAACGCACAACAATGGGAGGTCAAAGAACAACCACATCCGTGACGAGCCACGAATAATGGTGAGTTTGACAATAGTGTTGTATCGTTTCTACCCTGTGTGTCTCTCTCTCTCTCTCTGGATGTCTTATCGCTCACTCACTGTGTCTATATCTATCTGTCTCTCCACGTCTCTGTCTCTGTCTGGCTGTCTCTCACCCATTCTGTCTGTCTTTTTCTCCCTTTTTCTGTCTCTGTCCCTCTCTCTCTCCCCCTCTCTCTCCCTTTGTCTCTGTCTCTCTCTATGTCTGTCTCTCCCTCCCTCCCCCCTGTCTCTCTGTCTCTCTCTCTCTCCTTCCCTCTCTCCACCCCTCCCTCACCCTCTGTCTCTTCTCTCTCTCTCCCCCCTCCCCCTGCCTCTCTCTCTGTCCCTCTGCCTCTATCTCTTTCTCCCCCCTATCTCGTCTCTCTCTCTCTCCATCTGTTTCTCTCTCTTTTCCTCTCCCTCTCTCTATCTCTCTGTGCTGTTGTCAGAGCAGACAGTGAGGAAGCATGGTGCGGTCAGTGGGAATGTTTCTTCAGTGAGTTGCTGAGTGCAGTCCTATCTGTTTGCCTGCTCTCACAGGCAGGTGGAAATGATCCTTTGGCTACTGTCTTGCAGATGAGCAAGGGATTTTTGATTCATGACATGACCGATATTTATCCCTCAACAAACATCACTGACATAAAGATCTGAAGCTTATCATCTTGCTGTTTGTGTGAGCTTGCTGTTTGCAAACTACACTACAATAGTGACTACCTTGTTTTTGTGCCCTATGACTCTATGACTGTGTGGCTGTGAAGTGTTTTGTGGTGCTGTTGATAAACCCAGTTGTTTTGAACTCTGTGTCAATGAGGAATGACTTCCTCTGGTGCTGGATCAGTGCAGCATTGACCTAGCCTGACATCTGAGGAACCGGGGGAATAATGAGCTGACAGCAAGTCAGTAACCACACTGCTCTGTGCAGCCGTTTGTGCTGATTGGCTAAAGCTATTAACGCACTCCATTACTCCACAGCAAACTTCATTTATGCTTCTTACCCATTCCTCAGCTCTTTGTTTTGTGGCAACTATTTCCTCATGAATTCAGTGTCTTCTCTGTATGCTTCCAGCCTAAATGCAGTGCTGCTATAGAGCTGCTACATGGCCACTCTGTCCCATTCTCCATGCAGCAGGCTGTCTGCGAACAACATGCCCAACATCAGGGAAAATACAAAATAAACTTTAGAAACACAGTCAGTCTGAGCTCCTGTTATAAAACATTACCTCCTCTTTTGCCAGACCCAACAGAAGATCCCAGCTCAAATCCAAACTATTTAACTATTGCTGTCTGTTTCCTCGCTGTTGGCTCTGATGAGGGGTTAATAATTGGGTTGGATCCAATCAAATGGACTGAGTTTCTGGCTAAAACATCAGTAATGTGCTTTCATTTTGCCACCTGCTGTGTAATTAATATTTTCTGTAAGTATTTCAGCTTGGTGAAATTTCACCAATATTATCCCATTGAAGCCTTCCCTCTCGCACTTATTATTTCTTTCATATCACTGTATTCTGAAGCAGTGTAATATTTTTAATTGTGAACGTTATCTGTCAATTCTTCTGAATATCTCCCCTTCAATTACAACTGATCATTTTCTGACTTGTTCCTCTCTTTCAGTTTACTCTCCATCAGTTTCAATTTCCCTGCTTTGATTCCACTCTCCCAGATTATGACTCTATCAGGTTTTATTCATATGAATTAAAATTAGGAATCCCTTACGGAACTCCTATGAAGGTTCTCCAACTGCAGACTTTAAACTTTTCTCTCATCCGCCTGCCAGTTCCATCCTATCAAAGGTCACTGTCTCATTTCCTCCAATCAACAATTTTCTTCGGGGGATTCCTGGATACAATTATTGTCAGCCACGATGTGGTGTATCCCTGGGTGAAAGGAGATTAATTACTGTTGTAATGTTCCTGTTCACAGGGACCCTGTCATGGGCAGCTGCAACGAGCCCTCGAAAGGTTTGCGATGTCATTGAGTCAGACTCATGAAAACCTGTACCATATTCCCATCCCAAACTGTGACAGGAAAGGATTTTATCATCCCAAGCAGGTTTGTGTTTCATTGGCAATGATCATTAAATGCATCAGCAAAGCTTCTTCTGAACTCCCAGGATGATTCCACCTGGGAAATTCTTCCCATAGAGACAATTGGAGACATGGCTATTACTGCTGCTGCCTTTGTACATGTCTCAGAGACCAAATAACAGGACAGGGACAGCACAGGGTTAGATACAGAGTAAAGCTCCCTCTAAACTGTCCCCCATCAAACGCTCCCAGGACAGGCTCAGCACAGGTTAAATACTGGGTAAAGCTCCCTCTGCACTGTGCCCATCAAATGCTCCCAGGACAGGAACAGCACAGGGTTAGATACAGAGTAAAGCTCCCTCTAAACTGTCCCCCATCAAATGCTCTCAGGACAGGGACAGCACGGGTTAAATACTGGGTAAAGCTCCCTCTGCACTATCCCCATCAAATGCTCCCAGGACAGGGACAGCACGGGGTTAGATACGGAGTAAATATTGCTAGCCTTTCAGGTTTGGATTTTGATAAATTAGTACCGACGATGTAAGGGTTTGTTTTCTATTTTTGTTTGATTCCTGACAGGATTGCGTTGTGGTTATTCCCAGTCAATCTGGCAGGAATGTTTCACTGAGTGACTGTTGTACAGTCATACAGCACAGAAACGGACCCTTCAGCCCAACTCATCCATGCTGACCAGGTTTCCCAAACTGAACTAGTACCATTTGCCTGCATTTGGCCCATATCCCTCTAATCATTTCCTACTCCTGTATCTGTCCAAATGCATTTTTAAATGTTGTAATTATACCAGCATCCACCACTTCCTCTGGCAACTCGTTTCATGCGTGCACCACCTTCTGTGTGAAAAGTTACCCCTAGATCCCTTTTAAATCTTTCCCTTCTCACCTTAAACCTATGTCCTCTAGTTTTGGGATCCCATACCCTGGGGGAAGAGACCTTGGCTAGTCACTCTATTCCATGCCCCTCATGATTTTATAAAGCTCTAAAAGGTCACCCCCTCAGCCTCCTACACTCCAGGGGAAAATAGCCCCAGCCTATTGAGCGTGTTGCTCAAGCTCAGTCCTGTGTAGAGGTGTAGAGAACATCCGGGTGAATTTGAAAATGATATCATTGAGCTGCTGGTTGTGGAATCCATTTTTCCGATAACTCTTTATTTCCCCTTTCCTCACCTACTCCCCCCTCCCCCCCCCACCCCCCCCACCCCCTCTTCCCCCCACAGTGTCACCCTTCGCTGGATGGACAAAGGGGCAAATGCTGGTGTGTTGAACCGAAAACAGGGGTAAAGCTGGTCGGCTCTCCAGAGGTGAAGGGAGACATTGACTGTCAGCAGTTTCTCCTGGAGCAGGAGAAGGACTGAGTAGGTGCTTCTGACAGAAAGATGCTTCACTGTTCTTTCCAAAACAATCCACTGTTCTTTCTGATACTATCCTTGTAAGATGGAGAGGGAGCTACCACAAGTTGAGTCAGTGTGTTCTGTGAGATGCAGGAGTATGCAGTCAGAGCTCATTTGAACCTCACCGAATCAGTGCTCAGTTACCTTGACAATCACCGAATCCTTTTAAGCTTTTGTCTGCTCCTTATAGAAGTGTTTCTGTTATCTAATGTCTTCCAATTTTGATATTTTTCTGATGTTCCTGTCACTTGTTCCTGTGGGTTTGCCCCTATTCTCAATCTCACACTCCAGACAAGTCCCAATCTGGGCACCCCAACAGTGGTCCTGTAGCCTGTGGTCAGAAAATTAGTGAATGTCAGGTCACTGTGTAATCTCTGAGGGACCACAAAGGGAAGTCCCTTTTCACCTGTGTGCCAGTCTATCCTAATGGTGCTAACTCCCCGAGCAGTCTGAACCAAACTTTTTGTCTTGCAACAACCAAACAAATTAGTTGTGTCCTTCCAGTGAACCTGGTGCTAAACAGTCTCACTGCAGCCCCTGAGAAAGGGCATTGAAATATCGGGGATGGGGGAGACATGTGCGAATCAGTATTAACTCCTACCCAGTGCCAATAGGGCACTGACACTCCAAATAAAATCAGCCACATCTCACTTAGTGCCTCATTCCCTCTCAGCGAGAAGCCCAGAAACCTGTTTCTTGCAGGAGCCTGTTTAGTATCTGCTCACGGTCCATAGGATCTTGATGCAGTGTTGAAGGGGTTTGCGTTGTCCGTTGGTATTTAGGGTAGGGTGACCCAACCAGGTGACCCTTAAAGAGCCCTTCCTTCCTTCTTTCTATTCTCCTCTTGGTCATTATTCTGCCCCTGGCCTTAGTCCTTCTAATGGCACTCAGTGGGTTATTCAGACATGTCCTCCCAATGATATTAACATCTCACTCACTCAGCCTGTGTCCACTTGCAGTTTAGTTAAACCCTGTGGATTCTCATTGAGGTTTTATAAATCTCTTCATCATTTAATGAACAATTTATACTTTGTCATAATCCAGGTTTTTCCAAATCGTTTCAAAATAAAACCAACAAATTCCAGGAGCAGCTTACAATTTACACCAAAGATTGGTGTGGAATTAGCAGGGTCAATCTGAATTGAATTAAAAGAAGTGAGGGGTAATCTTCCCAGGCTGAAGAGAGAGTGTTATTTGTCTGTTCCAACTACAGGAATGACCTGAAGATGTAGAAGGTGCAAAATGAGAATGTTTGTATTTTTGAAAAGGGGAGGGTGGCAGAAGGGATATTGAGGGGGTAGTAATTGAGCCATTGGGGTAGATCACTGGAGAGAGATAGTTGGCTGTTCCTGCTGCTGTGGAGAGCAGTAATTTCTGAGTAACAGGGAGAAGAGGAATTTAAAATTGTCTCCTGATGCACTGTGATGCTCTCTGTGCCTTCAGAAGACAGTGGTGCCCCAATAGTGTCACTGTATGAATAACCTAGAGACCCAAGGAATGGTTTGACAACATGGGTTCAAATCCCACCACACAAACTGGTGGAATTTTGATTAATTTAAATAAATCAGGAATTGAAAGCTAGTCTCAATAATAGTGGCCCTGAAACTGTCATTAAATGTTACAAAAACCCACCTGGTTCACTAATGTCCTTTAGGGAAGGAAATCTGCCATCCTTACCTGGTCTAACCTACACGTGACTCCATACCCACAGCAATGTGGTTGACATGTAACTGCCCTCTGGGGGGCAAATAGAGATGGGTAGCCTTGTCATTGGTGCCCATATCCCATGAAAGACAAAAAGGAAATAATCTCTGTGTTTGCATTATCCTTTCAGGAAGTGAGACCTGAGGTGGTTTGGGCTGATACTCCACTTCAGCATCATTGAGTTGGATGGCCTTGTCCTGCCTCTGACTGTGTCTGGGGGGGGGGCTGCAGCTGATGAGTCCTGGTTAGGAGCACAGCAAAACATGGCAGCTATTTGAAGGATTGTTGGCCTGCGAGAGATGATCAAACCCTCTGTGTTCCACACACACTGTGGAATATTCAATGTTGCATTAATTCTCCTGGCACCTATACATTTCAATAGTGAAAGCGCTAATCAATGAGATTGATTACCTTGTTTATATTTCCCATTATTGGAACTGCCTTTATATCTGAGCAGCTGGCAGTTACTCCTCGTAGCCCAGTCTGGAATGGTTGAAGCAGAGAGCAGGAGACAAGTGGGAAAATTTGGGAATGGGAGGATGCTGGTGTGGAATATAAACAACCATTTGGGACTGTTTCTGTACCATAATAATTTGTTAGCACTACTGGATAATTAAACCTCCCTGGCCCCAAACTGGGAGGTCGAACCCTTCCCTTCACTTGAGTGAATGGATCTGTTCATCTTCAGCTGATTGACTGGGACAATCCACACTGAATCTCTCCATCGGGGGTGGATTCAAAGTCCTTCAGTGTTTCTATCCCTGCAACAGGGAGAAGAATGGTTGAGCCAAAGAATAGGTTTTTCCCCATTGTATTCTTTCCCTGGAATGAGGTGGAATCTCTGCCATGTGACACTTTGGATACATTGGTATTTCAGACTGTACAGGGTTCAGACTGTATATTGGCTCAGACTGTACAACAGTTTAGAATAGCTGTCTGGCATTTAGACATTGAGTTCTTTTTGTAAAAAGTGGGGTGAAAACTATCTCCCAAACAACAAAGGCTGATAACAAGGAGCCATGAGATAAAGCAGGGGAAAGACGTCAGAAACCAAGCCAGATTAGCTTGTGGTGGAGGATTTCAATCTATTCAGTAACTCGATCATCTAGAAAACATTGGTGAGATTGGTATTTGAATCGAGAGCAAGATGGAAGGGAGAAGGGGCGATGGAGCTGCAGGAGTAAATATCCTCTCAGTCCTGGTTGCCAAAGCACCTCATGGAGAAACTAAGAGCTCTCCTCAAAATGATTGCAGCTGAACTTAATTCTGGATGTCTTCAATGGTAGGCATAGAGGGCCCCTTTCGTGGTGCAGTGGTAGCATCCCTACCCCTGGACTGGGAGGCTTGGGTTCAAATCCCACCTGCTCCAGTGGTGTGTAATAACATCTCCCAACAGGTCAGTTAGGAAAAAAATAGATTAGTGGTAAACAGAGAAACAGGAAGCAGTTCTAGTCTGAGCCCTTTCCACTCTGGCCGTTACCTCGGTTTAGAAATGTGAACCCTACTCTGAGAGACTGAGTCCAGACCTGAAACTGCTACCACTCAGCATGGAAGTGTGCAGCCTTGCGAATGTTCAGGTTGTCTGGGCTGATCACAGGAACATGCACCATTACTGCCTGCTGAAACAATCAGTGAGATCCACCCTACTCGTTCACATGCTCGATTTAACATCACCTTTTACAGCAGGGAATCCCCTCATTGGTCATCACTGTGCTAACAACAAGGTGACCCATGACCTCAGTCACAAGGAGGATTGCTACTGGGAAGATGCTCATTGGCCATTGGGAGTAGATTCACAGCTGAGGTGTTACCTTGTTCACAACGTGCCATTTCAAAGCCAGCCCCTTCGGGGACTATAACCATCGGTCTCACCCCCTCAATGACTTCCTGATGCTGAGACCCAGGTCAGACTGTGTCAGGAACCATCAGCTAATGGTTAGCTGGAGGAGAGGGTTAGCACTCACGCTGTCTGCCTGTCTGACAGTCTGACAGTCAGAGCTGACAATGATCCTGGGTTCCAGGGAGCAGTGAGCACTTAGAATCCCTACAGCATGGAAGGGATTGATTCTGCACAGACTGTCGGAAGAACATCCTGTCCTATCCCCATGACTCTGCGTTTAGCCTGGCTAGCCCACCTTAACCTGCACATCTTGGAATGTAGAAGGAAACCCACGCAGACACAGAGAGAATGTGCAAACGCCACACAGACAGTCGCCCGAGGGTGGAATCGAACCCAGGTCCCTGGTGCTGTGAGGCAGCAGTACTAACCACCGTGCCGCCCTGCTGGGTGCCAACTTTTTGGGAGCCCAGTAGAACAGGGCTCTGCTCACTCCAGGACAGAATATTTTTTATTGCAAAATATATTTTATTCATTAAAAATCTTCATGTACATTCACAAATATTAAAGCAGTTCTGTATAGTCTATGCAAATCAAGATAAACAAACATTGGAATCTGACAATGCCTGCTATTGTAAAATCTGAAGGCATTTTTACTTATGCAGGACTATATTTATATTTGAGGCCCCGAATGGGTCTGATAACTGAATGGACCCTCGTTATACTTTGATCTTGGTCTTCTCACACTGCCAACTGCCCCAAGCTTTCGTGCATCCAGCAGCACGTAGTCCTGGATTTTGGAATGTGCCAGTCTGCAATACTCAGTCGGGGTCAACTCCTTGTTCTGGAAGACCAACAAATTTCAGGCAGACCAAAGAGCATCTTTCACTGAATTGATGGTCCTCCAGGCACAGGTGATGTTTGTTCTCGGTGTGTGTCCTGGGGAACAGACTGTAGAGCAGAGAGTTGCGCGTCACGGACCTGCTCGGGATGAACCTCGACAAAACCCACTACATCTCTCTCCAGAGTTTCTTTAAAAAGGCACGTTCCAGCAGGAAGTGTGTGACGATCTCTACACCCCCTACAGCCACTTTGAGGGCAGCATGTGGTGGCACACACTGACCGGGTGTGCATACAGGATCTCACAGGCAGAGCCCTTCTCACCAACAGACAAGCAATGTCCTGGTGCTTGTTGGAAAGTTCTGGTGATTCTGCCAAATGCTAGTCTGCTCAGGGAGTCACCTGATAGGATCCACCCTCTCCTTTTCCCTTAGACTCTCAGGGATGCTACATGCTGACAACTTCCTGATGGACTTGTGCCCAAAGGGGTCTTCCTTTACAAATTGTTCCCTGAGGGACAGGTTACACAGAACCACCCAACTACTTGGAGCATTCCACAGCAGCTAGGCCAGACCCATCCTTCCTAACAGTGGGGACAGGTAAAACCTCAGTACATAGTGACACTTGGTGTTTGTGTACTGAGGGTCTACTCACAGCTTGATGCAGCCGCACACAAAGGTGGCCATCAGGAGAATTGATTTAACCAGCATCGTAACAAGATCAGACCCTGAATTGATTTCTCCTACTTCTACCAGGCTCTGCTCTTTCAATCTCACCTCATGCTTGGTGTTATGAAAATGTGAACAGAAATTCAGTTTGTTTGATGTTGTCGAATGGGGTCAGGCTCAATTGTGACCTGTTAGTGACGGGAGATGGTGTGAGAAACAGAGCGGAGGTTCTGATGGCCCTGTAGCTATTTGTGGACAAACAGTGGAATCCAAACCTGATGATATGACTTTCAACGGTACAGATCCTGGGGACAGGTGACTACCAACACAGTTGACCTATATATGACATTTACTGGTGACAGTCATTAATAGCCTGTGATATTCAGAATCTTTTTAAAACACTATGTTAGAGCGTGTTTTTGCAAAATATTGGAATGTAATAAATGCAGATTCCATTGGTGCTACTGTGTCATTTCCTGCACTTTGTCCAGTCTTTCTGGGTTCTCTGGTCTGTCTCATTGTTGCTCTGTTGTTTGTGGGATCTTTCTGTGCATGAATTGATTGTTGTATTTTCTGCATTATGACACTTTGAATCCAGTTTAAACAGATGTATTTCATTGGCTGTTCAGTGCATTTTGATAACCTAAGGTCACATCAAGGTACTATGGAAACTGCACACTCCCTGAATCAGCCCTCACCGCTCCACAGGAATCTATTTTCACTCATTCCCATGTCAGACCGAACCAGATGGTCAGCTCAGGCAGAAAACCAGCTTGAAGGACCCTACTGTTAAGCCACTGTACTATTGCTGTGCAGCCCCCAGCCCCCTCTGCTGTTTTGCCAGTGAATGGAGCCAGTAACAGGTGGCTTACTGTCTACGGAGCCAATGAGACCTTTAGATTGGTCATTAATGTCCAATTAAGGTCTTTATCTCACACTTGGACTAAGTCAGCGATGAAGAGACTCACTCTGAGTGACCTGTCACCCAAGGTTTCAGTGAAGTAACACGAGGGAGGATTCTCCTTATGAGACTCGGGGGGCCACTGCAGGGCACTCAATGGTAGAACCCCTTCCGCACCCCATTTCCCCTTCCCCTATTTGGCCTCACAACAGTACCCCCCAACCCCCAAATCCAAACATTGTCAGAGATTTGATCCATTGTGGTTGGGTTCTACAACACCCCCCAGCTCCCCCCATACCTCCCCCCCCCCCGCCAGGGCAGCACCAGCGAATGCCACAGCTGGCACCCACTGGTACTGGAGAAGGGCAGGTAGCCCCCGATTGGGTGACCACTCTCTGAGGGGGTGGCTCCAGCACCTTGTGGGAGGGGAATCCCACCTCCAGCAGCCAACATTCCATTAGCCTGGAGGGGATTACGGTGCCATGTAATTCAGCTTCTCTATGTCCTCCCCATCGAACACTCCACCAGCCTGGGAGAGGACCTGACTGTCCCAGATTCTCTCTTCAGCTGCTGCAGTCTCTCCTGGACATTGGGCCCATGGCGAGAGGCACGCTGTGGGCTGGGAGGTGGGAGTTTTGGTTCCTGTCCCACTGTGGCACTCCTCACCTCAGGATATCCTCGCTGTAGATGGAGAGTGGCAAAGGTTCACTCCATGAACTCCTGGGATGATGAGGTTTGTTCAATAAGCAGACATTGAGGCCTTACTTCTGGTCTTTAGAAGAACAAGAAAGGGTCTTATTGAAACAAATAAGATTCTGAGGGTTTGACCAGGTAGAGACTGTGAATATGATAAACCCTCAAACCCCTGAACCACCACGCACCATACACCAACTACTAACTCAGGGATTTGGACACTGCCAGGAGCGGCCAAGATGTGTTTAAGGAGACCTCAGAGAAGTATGTGAGTGAAAAGAGGCTAGAGGGGTTTGCTGGTTTGGTGAGACCAAGGAGGAGACTTATGGGATCACAAACACCAGAAGGGCTGAATGGCCTGTCACTCTGGTAACTCTCCTATACCTCAATCAATCAGAAGTTTTAGCTTTGACACTGGCCAGAAATGTGAAGGGTACCAAGGGAGATCAGCTCGTTCTATACATCTCTATCAGAAAGGGGAGAATTCTCAATGGAAAAGCTCAGTATCCAGGCCCATAGACTGAGGGCAGCAATAGTCATACATTCTCAGAGAACCTGTTACATTCCCAGGAAGCTTTGAAATCTAAGTGGTGGCATGAATACAGAATTGACACCAAGACAAAGTGGGAGATATTCAGACAGGTGTCTAAAGTGTTTCATTGAAGAGGTCAGCTTTAAAGTAGGCAGAGAGGTTTGTTCAGGAAAGTCCAGAGTTTAGGGTTCAGGCTCCTGAGCACAAATGGGATGGACAAAGGGAGGGAGGAATCCAGAAAATGTCACTGTTGGAGGGGAGTAGTATTCCTGCAGGATCGTTTTTAAGCTGGTGGAGTTTACAGAGGTCATGGGGGGATTTGAAGATAAGAATTTTTAAATTAAGGTTTTTGTGGACTAGACATCAATATCTGTCAAAATGCTGACATTTTCAGAACAGTTGATGCTGGACCTTTTCAGTCCCTCACCACATTACCCCCAATAACATCCAGGTCAGACTCTCGACATGAGATCAACACTTGCTGGACAAACTGTCCTTCATTTCTAATGGCCAGATTATCCTTCATTTCTGTTGCTTCTGCCTGAAGACGAAACATTCTTACATTGGTAAATGAAAGTTGATATTCACAGATTAACAAACACCACAAGACTCACAAACTTCAAAGTGTTAAAAACACTTGGACTCATTAATCCCTATAGTCAAAGAATTCAGATTTCCTGATATTCTAGCAGGCGGGATAGATGGAGTTAAGACACAAATCAAGCATCAGTTCATTGAAATATATAGAACAGGTTTGAGGAGCTGAATGGCTTGGATCCAGTCTTCTAGTGAATAGCTGAGACTTGGTGTCTGCTAAAAATGCCATGAATAACAGTAACCTTTCACTGTTAAACAAAATCTTAGCTTTTTTGGTCTTCTGCAGTGTTTGAGTGAGAACCAACAATTGGCCAAAAATGTTCATTTAGTTTGAACAATCTAATCCAGAAGTGTCGCAGTAATTTTACATCAACACTGACTGATGCTAAAGAACATGTTGAGCAATTTACTGCAAACAAGGACCAGTTGCTGGTTATTTCTTTTCATCGCTGACATTGCCAGCTCCATGTCTTTTGTCTGCAATTGCTCACGCACCAGGGATTAGGATTGAAGAGACTATGAGCCAAAGATGAAATATCACAGCTGCTTTAGAATAACAGAGTGAGAGCGAACTGTGCAGAAATTCTTACAAAGAATCAGACTGATCAAACGGTCCTGAGTGGCATTCAGAATAGACGTGAAGTGTGGCTTCTGGCATGAGAACAGCACCAACAGCCACGGTCATCCTGAGGATATCGGTATAAAAGAAATCCAATTCAAACAACATTCCACTGCAGCTCAGTTGACATTCGAAGATTGGAACACAAAGGGAACACGATGAACTCCAATCAGAGTCTCATGATAAAAGGCTGATTAATTTTAGAATGAGATGAGGAGGAATTGCTTCAATTTAACGTTGTAAATCAGTGAAAATCTCCAGCTCAAAAGGCAGTGTTGAGGACAGAAATCAGTCATGATCTAATGGTCAGGCCCAGCCAAATCAATTGGATGAATAACTGCCATCTGTTCACATTTCTTGGCCAATTGAATTTATACACACAGACACTGATTCTCACCGGGGTACAGTCCCACACACACTGACTCTCACTGGGGTACGGTCCCACACACACTGACTCTCACTGGGGTACGGTCCCACACACACTGACTCTCACCGGGGTATGGTCCCACACACACTGACTCTCACTGGGGTACGGTCCCCACACACACTGACTCTCACTGGGGTACAGTCCCACACACACACTGACTCTCACTGGGCTACAGTCCCACACACACTGACTCTCACTGGGGTACAGTCCCACAGACACACTGACTCTCACTGGGGTACAGTCCCACACACACTGACTCTCACTGGGGTACAGTCCCACATACACTGACTCACACTGGGGTACAGTCCCACACACACTGACTCTCACTGGGGTACAGTCCCACACACACTGACTCTCACTGGGGTACAGTCCCACACACACTGACTCTCACTGGGGTACAGTCACACACACTGACTCTCACTGGGGTACAGTCCCACACACACTGACTGTCACTGGGATACGGTCCCACACACACTGATTCTCGCTGAGGTACAGTCCCAACACGCAGTGACTCTCACTTGAGTACAGTCCCACACACACTGACTGTTACTGAGGTTCAGTCCCACACACTCTGAGTTCCACTGGGGTGCAGTCCCACACACGCTGATTCTCACTGGGGTATGGTCCCACACACACTGACTTTCACTGCGGTACAGTCCCACACACACTGACTCTCACTGGGGTACAGTCCCACACAGACTGACTCTCACTGGAGTACAGTCCCACACACACTGACTCTCACTGGGGGACAGTCCCACACACACTGACTCTCACTGGGGTACAGTCCCACACACACTGACTCTCACTGGGGTACGGGGTCCCACACACTGACTCTCACTGGGGGGCAGGGGTGTAGTTCTGTCGTCACTGACAATGGGACAGGAGGCTCTGTATTGTGTTGTGTCAATCTGTATGCAGTGTGTCAGGGTGAGTATGTGAGGTCATTCTGTGGTCAGTATTTCAAAGCCATTCCCTGTCTCGATTCTTTATGTAGAGGGTATTGATTCTGTGGAGTTTGTCTGTGCAGAGTCTAGTACTGAAGCAGTTAAGAGAATGGGATGTAGCTTTATTTTAAAATATGTAGCTAGTTCTTCAAGTGCGAAGACTGAGGCTGGATTTGATCCAAAGTGTTACTCAGTAAAGTACCTGGTCAATGTACAAACTGAAATTGTTGGACCAACACTGGAATGAAGCGTTACTGATTCTGAGGAGTTTATGGTGCAGTACCATGTCTGTAATTATTAAAATCTATTACAGCAGGACAGAGTGAGCAGGAATTGGAAGTTGCTCTGGCACCTAGAGCCATGCAGGGGCTGACTGAAAGAACTGTCTGTAAATGGACCAAAGTTCACCATTCTGATGATCAGGAATGTTCTGTGTTAAATACACAATTGTGAGGCTAGTTAGACAGTTCCCAGGCTTCTTGCAGCTGGCAAATACATTCATAGGTTTCTCGAGCTGCTTTGAAAGTATGCAGCACTTTGCAGGTCCCAGGGGTTCCAGTAGTACATCTCTTCCCATTGTCGTGGAGACCGGGGGTGCATTTGTTCCTGGGTTCTGGGGGTTGGGATTTTCTCTGCCTGGTTTCTGTGGGGCAGCTCAGCTGAAGCTGCCTGGATCACTGCTGAAGTGTCTTACTTGCATTCCCTCCTATTGGGAGGGAATGGTTGTGTTTCTCCCCCTGACGGCAGC